ATGTTATCGTTTGTCTTGCTTAACAATGGTTAATGGATAAAAAAATACACCAACATACACACACAAACACAAACATACTTTGAAAATATGTAATCATGTATTTTTTATATTGTCGTGCATTTTACTTTTGTTGTTGTCATTTTTTTTTGCGCCGTTGACACATAAATTTATTGTCTTTTTACTTATTTTTGCCACTTTGCCCACTGTTGGCTTCATAATTACATACCATATATAAATTTGCACTTATCCGGATAATAATCAGCATGAGTCGATATAATTAAATGTTTTACTATTTAACAAACACAAAGTGGATCAGAGTGATTCAGTTCTACCTGCAAACATACATATATGTATGCACGGGTGAGTAAATGAAAAAAGTATTATATTTTCAATGTTACATACAAGTATTTATGTGCTACTAAGTGGACAGGTGCTGCTTTAACATCTGAAGCACGTACTTAACTGAGTAGTAACAAAATAACTGATGATAATAAAATTTAATATTATTTTTTTTTTGCTTCCCAAATAATTATAATAGACAGGGTTGTTTAACAAATATTATATAAATTCATACAGGTTGGTGGAAAAGTTTCTGCGCTCGAAAAATACCATTTTTGGTACGAAATATCTTTATTATTTAATATATTCTCCTTTATATTTATTATTCAATATAATCTCCCTTAACTTTAATACACTTATTCCAATGATCTTCCAAAAATTTTTTGCCATTCCTATAGTGACTTTCCTGAAGCTCTGCAAAATTGCCGTCCCCGCCTGCAATAGCTTCTTTATTCGACGAAAAACGCTTTCTACGTAGGAATTGTTTCAGGTTTCTGAAGAGGTAGTAGTCGCTGGGAGCCAAATCTGGTGAATACGATGGATGCTGAAGCAATTCGTACTTTAATTCGTTGAATTTTTTAATGTTAAAACACCTCTGTGAGACAATGCTGTCTTGATGAAAAATGATTTTTTTGTGTTGAGAACCAAGTCTTTTCTCACGCATTTTTTCATCCAGCTGTTTCAAAAGACTGCAATACTATTCAGAGTTGATTGTTTTATCTTTCTGTCGATAATCGATCAACAAAATTCCTTTTGCATCGCAAAAAACTGATGCCATAACCTCCTTTGCTGATCGTTGTGACTCCACCTGCTTTGGAGCTGAACAACCAACTTCAGACCACTGTAAACGTTCTTGTTTCAATTTTGGATCATGATGGTAGATCCAAGTCTCATCCATAGTTATAAAACGACGCAAGAGATCGGTTTTATTCTGCTTAAAACGCTCCAAACTATGCAGAGATATTTGTTTTCGATCCCGATTTTGTTGGATTGTTAATGTGTGCGGCACTAACTCTCCATGTAAAATATGAAGTACTCGTACGTCTGAGATGCCTATGGCATTAGCAATTTCATGCTTAGTCAAACTTGGATCTTCACTAACAATATTATGAACTTGCTCAATGATTTCTGGTGTGGTTGCGGTTTTTGGTCGTCCAAAATTCAACATTGCTTTTTAAGGTGAGGACAGGACTTTTTATACACTTCTATCAATTGTTCATAAATTTGCTTTGTTTTTAAACCTTGCCAAACATAGAATCTAATCACTGTGCGATTTAAATTAATTGACAGAATGACTTGTAACTTTGCATGTGTTCTCACGACAGATGTACCAACTTGAGAAAAACGATATTTGGAGCTAATAGTGATATTTCTTGATGAGAGCAGAAACTTTTCAACCGACCTGTATATGGTATATGGAACTTCAGCCGGGTTTTTATATCTTATAAGCAGTTTATTGGTGAGAAATCAGCTTTTTGGGGACGTGTTTAAAATTTCAGATCAATATCTGAAAAACTGAGAGATTAGCTTGCGTATATACAGACAAACGGACATGGCTAAATCGAGTCAGCTCGTCACGTAGGAGTTTAAGTGGGGAAAACAAATTTAGAAATCTCCGAAACTATTTAATGAAAGTTTTATATTAGAACAACAATAATAAGCGGTAATCAAAATTATTAATAAATAAAATTATCAATAAATAAACAACAGAACTCAAAGATAAGCAGTTTTTGATGACTAATAATATGGGAAATTATACCGAAATGAGGTGAAATAAAAATATTGAAGGGTGTCCGAGAAAGTAATAATATGTTTATATTTTCTCCGATATTATATATATCCAAAAAGCGTATATAAATAAAAATGCAACAAAAGAGCGTGCAATACGCGAAATAGTTGGGAAAATTATGTCAGAACTAGCAAAAAGCAAGAAAATGAAAAAGATCAAAAGTAAACATATGTATGTATGTGAGCTTGTGCTAGTTCAAAAATGCGGTTCCCGAGAAACTGCATACAAGTATACATATACATATATATAAAATAATAAAACAAAACATGCGTGAAAAATACCCTGGCAAAAGCAATGTTACAATAAACCCGTGATAATGACTTCATGCAATGTCTAGCTAAGCGAGATAAAAAATAGTAGCAAGTTGAGTATTTTTAGTTACTATTGTAGTGAAACTATGCTATCATTCCTACGTACATATGTTGGTATGTATATGTGAATGTATATAGAAATAAATGATTGTGGTTGGGTGGCTATTAATCATAGCTAAAATAGTTTAAGATTTCAGACGGAATGTTTCTAATGCAACTGCTGATAGGTTAAGCATTACGTATATATGAGTATTTACATACATATATATATACTTATATATAATATATATACAGATATTTATATATACATATACTTATGTATGCGTGTTGTATTAAAACAATAGAAAAAAACGGTTGCACAGAAGCTATAATATCTTTCACAAGTACTAAAGATTTCAAACAAGAACTTGATTTGGATCGGTCATTTTATATGACAGTTATATCTTATAGTGTTCTGATCGCAACAATTTCTTAGCAGATTGTACCATTACCTTGAAAAATAAACTGAGCCAAATTTCATAAAAATATATCAACCAATAAAAAAGTGTTTTATACAAAGGCCTGATTTTGATCTAACAGTTTTTATGGTAGCTATATGTTATAGTATTCTGATCGCAACAATTTTTTCGGAGATTCTTTCGCTGCCTTGGAAATTAATTCATGCCAAATATTGTGATTATACATATCTAGTTAAATAAAAAAGTTTTCCACACCCAAGGCATAATTTTGATAGTTCAGTTTGTATGTTCAGGGTATAAAGATTTATGTATAATAAAAAAAATTTTTTTTAGAAAGGGAAGCCTTAACTTTTGACAGCAATTTTTTTGCATTTTGAAGATTATTATCAAAAGTAAACTAAAGCCATATATGTACATACATGCATATAGTCAAAATATGAATAAAGAATAAATATGCTTATGTAAATGAAAATGTTTTATGACATTTGAAAACTTTAGGAATTGAGTGCCATACAAATATTACTTAAGAAATTCTGCAAAATTAATTTAGCGCATATAACGGTTTCTCAATGCACATACTCCATAACGCAATTTTCGACATACGGCCATTAGCCGGATGCCAAAGTAAGCTGCTCCACTCCTTTTGTGCCTTTTATGGACAAGCATAAGCAGACAGACACGCAGACTGTGTGTCTCATTGCACGCTAGAACGCGCAGACGTGGCCTGATGCAGCAGTTGAGCAAATATAGAAATGTGAAAGCAAAAAGTGCGTACTGCACTTGATGATATACGATCTCTTATACCGATTCACATTTTGGCATTTACTACAGTCGTCATACCACTTTAGTTGCACCAGACACTGGCAGTCTTTTTTTTTGTATGTATGATTTTTTTTTTTTTTTTAATTTCTATTGATGATTGCAAAGACGACATTTTGGCTGCGCCAAAATAACGAGACCTCAAGCAAAATCAAGTACATACATAGACACACATTTATTTTACGAGTATATGCCGCCATACAGTTTTATTTACTATGCGGAGTGTTGACTACAAATGATAATGAAAAGACAGACAAACTTTTACAAATAAAATTTTTCTTTCTTTGTTCACAAGACGATGTAAATATTTGATATAATTCGCCTATTTACCATGTGTATGTATTATAATATATGTACATATATATATTTGATTGCTGTGTTATGGTTATAGTATCGGTGTAGCATTAAACCTAGAATGAAAGTACGAGCATTTACTCAATTATAGACATATGCATAGATACATACTTATGTACTTTATAATTATGTATAGAGCAGATATTTTATGTAGCAACACCAACAGCTCGACGCCCATTAGCAATTTTTGTATTTACCTAACTTAATTAGTTTAATATCCAAATTTTTACTATGTAAATATGCAATACTTATCGGCACAAATATTTTTGTATAATTAAATTTATTAATAGACATGAAAATATATCGATTAAGTACACCACTGAGTGGATTAGAATTGTACTTGTGCTGAAGAATTATAATTATTACACAAGAAAAACGGCATTTCAGCTATATGCTATAGTGCTCGGATCAGGAAGTTTTTTTCGGACATAGAAGCGTTGCCTTGACAAGAATCTATGCCAAATTTCGTTAAGATTTCATATTACATTAAAAAAAATGTTGATACAAAAAATAAATTTGATTGTTCCGTTTGTATGGAAGCTATTTGCTAAAGTTGTCCAATATCGACGCTTCCGACAAATAAGTAGCTTCTTTGGAAGAACAGGACAAAATTTCAGAGCGATATCTCAAAAATTGAGGGGCTAAGCCGCGTATATACAGACAGACGGACATGGCTAAATCGACACAGCTATACCTAACATATATTTTATAGGTATAAAAAGAATTGCATTTGGGAAATACGAGCCTTTTTGTTTACAAAAGTTGTTTATTGTATTTTTCGTACCTAAAAAATTATCTTTTTGTATTCGATTCGATTAAGTGATGTAATTATTATTCATAATTTATATAAGAAATTATAAGAATTATATGTAATGAATATTTATAACTTATATATGAACACATAATAATTGAATATAGCTATATACTTACGGATAGAAAAAGAAGAGGAACGTCGTGGATAACAGTAGAATCCAGGCAAATGTAGCAGGAATGTAGCGAGTCTTCATGTCGCATTTGGGCATTCTGTTACTAAACTAATAGAATTATTTTTTTTTCCACTTGATGACAACGGATTTTTTACACAAACAAACGTTGAAATTATAGAGGAGTTATGAGGTAACAGCTGTTGATTTTAAGTAAAGCGGCAATTGTTGCATTAGAAAAATTGGAAGCGCAAAATAAATATATGAATATACGGTTGTAAAAACACTTTAGTTACAGCAACAAAGATAAAAGTTCGCTTTCTAATATGATTTCAACAGATGATGTTTAAATTATGACAGAAAAATTTGTAGATGAGTTAATATATAGGAGAGAAAATTTCATTTAGGAAGATCTGCATATACACTTTCCAATATATTTATTTCTAGATCAATTAATATTTGAAATTTGTTTAATTTTTTTATAAAAAGGTTTATGTTTGTACACATTTACTAACCGTATTAGAAAATTTTGTATATTTTTTATTTACACAAACTTTTTTCGACTAAACCGGATTGCACTTCACCCCGCCGTTTGCAATATTATGCATACCACTTTGTTGTCCGACGCGCACCGCACGGCTATTTAACAATTCTCATACGTCAATCGCTGGTTGTCGCCTTTTTTGTATTTTTTATTTTTTGCCTGACTTTTTGTGTATTATATATTTAAAGCTTTTATTTTGTATTTCAATTCAGCTTTTTAAATTCTACACTTTCCACTACTTTCGCTTTAACTACACATAACACTTTAAGCAATTTGCCATTGCCGCACATTGCCCTTGCGAAACATGGCAAATGATGCACTTCCAATTTTCATTTTTTTTCGCTTCGCTTATTGAATTTTCCAACTATTTAACTTATGTCTTTGCCTGCCATTGTCTAACTATGCACTTGAACCGTATAAAATGGCAACGATTCTTAAGATATAAAACTATAAAAACATATTTGTTGGAATTTCACATTGCTGGATATACTCTTTCTCCTTGAAAATGACCACGGACGACGAGTCTCCTTCACGTATATACGCTAGGCAACCAACAGCGAGTTTTTCTTCAACCGTGTCGCTATACCTTGCAGCTGAATGCGCTATTAGAAATTCTAAAATTACACCGCCGCATAGACCAAAGCTTTTTTCTTACAATTTTTTAATTATTACACACAATATGAGCGTTATTATTAATATATATAAAATTGTTCGCGTTTTTCGTACAATTTATTTATTAATTTAAAGAATTTTCACAACGCTCCATATTCACACGCATTCGCTCGATCGCTCGTTTTCGTACAATTTCTTCAAATCTCAAATTTGTTTGCCACTCCGGTTGTAGAGCTGCAATTTGCCGTATGTACAAAATATTCAACGAATCGTCAAATAGAACGAGTGAAAAGGAACTCATAATAGCTGTATTCACTATCCAATTGGATAAACATTTTTTTTTCTAATATGTTATAACCATACCTAAATGTTAAATGAATTCATAGATAAGATATAAATAACCAATATATTTTTTTATATAAAAGGCTTATTAACGGAGGAAGTACTTTTTAATTTAATGTGTTCAACTTTAGAAATTATAAACAGTATACTTGTTTTAACATTATTAATTATAAAATATTTTTACATTGCAATTTTTCAAGTTAAAATATTTAAACAATTAGAAAATCACAAATCTTGTGACATTTAAGTCAAACGCAACCACTCTGCTTCGTTGAGTTTTGACAGCAATACAACATATTGATTTTTTGTTTTGTTTAAGGTCCCTATATATAAAAGTGAAATTAATTCTCAAAACACTGAAAATTCTCAAGAAAACTTAATATTATAGAAGTTCTTTGAATTTCTTTATCAATATTTAATATTCTCCCTTCCAATACGAATTTAAATATACAATATTTATGTTAAAACAGCATACTTTACTTATTCGCTTACATCTGTTTACTACAATAAATATTTGTGTACAGGCGTCTTAACGGCATGGTCAGCTGTCATATGGTGGTACTCGGCATTTAGCGGCCATTTTCGACGAATCTTCGTTTTCTGTTTACATCGTTGAAGTTAAAGCAGTAAATTTCGAAAAACTTGCAATTTAATTACCAAAAAATTAGCAAATTATCTTAAATACTGTATAAAATAGTGGAAAATGTCGCGTAGTGTTCGAGCGGAAACTCGTAGCCGAGCTAAAGATGACATCAAACGTGTTATGAATGCAGTGGAAAAAGTGAGACATTGGTAAGATGGCCTCCACCAGCTAATAGTAAAATGTGCCAATTATTTTTGAAACTAAATTTGAAATTATAGGGAAAAGAAATGGGTTACAATTGGCGATACGACTATGAAAATTTACAAATGGGTGCCCATATCGAATTCAGAAAAGAAAAAAGTGAGCAGCGTTAATAAGAGTGATAAGGAGAATTCACAGAAAGGCACGCCAACACCACCTCAAATAACGCCCTACGCCGGTCTGACTGCGGAAGATTCGAACACCTGTGAGTCGAAGCACACAAACTGATGAGTTCAAATGTTTGCATTCGAATTGATTTTCTTAACTTCAATAAATTAATAATTACATATAATAATTATACTATTAGACATTAAAAAACAATTTTTTCACTGTTTCGCAGGTTTTTCTATGGTGAGCGATTCCCAAGGTGCCACAGAATTTGTTTCTAGCATGCCATTTTCTGAGGATTCCAACTCACAAGGCAGTGAAGGCCCGGTGAAAAGACTAAAAACTAGTGATTAATTATAATATACACTGTAACTAAACATGTTCGTATCGCATCCGCTGCAAAACGCAATCAGTCACACTCGAAAATCAAGCAATTTTCAAGAATTGAAATTAATTTATGTTATTAAAGGAAAAACTAAAAAAAAAAAAAAAAAAAAATAGAAAAAATTAACTCCCATGGATATTTTGTACTCTGCGGTGTAGTATTGTATTTGTGTAAATTAAATAACGCATACAAATACTTTCTACTACGCTGAGCTACTGCTGCTAACTAATTAATTTTAAGCAATTTATTATATTAAATAATTTAATTTACTTACATATGTATATGAAATGTGCGCCTAGCTTAGTCATCATTACTGTAGTATTAAGTGGAATCCTTCTCCAAAATTTGTAATTTATATAAAAAAAATACACTTTCTCTGTGCAAGTGTTATGGAGAAGGAGTGTGTGCACACGGAGAACTCGTAACAATCGTATTAATAGTGTTGATTATGATGAAGACATTTTCATTGTATTGTATTTTATTTTATTTTATTTTTTTTTTTAGTTAATGGTAGTGTGCGAGCAGACAATTGCATTAAAGGTCCGCATTAAATAAAAATACTATAAAAATATACCTACAAAAATAAAATATCACGCAATGGCGGTGATCGTGCACATTGTACGGTTAACGCAATGAGGCTGTCTGAAGGCACGTACGTAACTTAAAACCTGCATATTTCGAGTCTCCGTCAATTGAATAAAATCAATATTAATTTATTAAAGTTTGTATTAAAGATTACATATTTGCTCTAAGAAAAAAAAGACGTTTTAATTTTATATTTTCTTGGAAAAATATAGGTAATCAAGGTAATTACAGTACAGTAGTTAACATTCTCGGATTTATAGCCAAGTTTGAAAACTTTCAATTCAAAATTTTTTAATTATAAAATTATATTTTGTTAACTCTAAAACAATTTCTTTTTTAATTCCTAATTATATGATTGGAAAGTAAATTTTTAATCCCGCATTTGGGGTTAAATCTTTTTTCAATCCGGTATTTGATATGAAAAATTTAAAAATTGTTTATAGTAAAGATATTCCAGTTTACAAAAGAAATTTTTAGTAAAAATATTAATTCAATTATTTTTTAAAGCTTTATTCGCAACACTGTTTATAGTCGATGGAAAAAATAGTGTTTTTGTAAAAATCTATCGAATATGGTAGAGTAGGCGTTGAAAAAGCAAGTAGTCTGCATATTTTGTAATGTCCAGTGTCCAGTCGTGCAACCCCAAGTCGTCCCAACCTTAACTAATTCCACCTTAAAGTTTCAAAAACCAAAGTTTTTCCATTTATATATATTTTTTTATTCAATACTTTCAAACCTTGTATACAAAACGTTGTAAACTGTTCTAAACCACAAAAATTGCTATTTTATTTTATTAATATTAGACAATTTTGAAATATTAAGTGCTATTCATGCCACCAATAAGCAAAGCCAATTGAAATTAAAAGTACCAACACTTTTTATGCAATTTAATTTTTGGTTTTCTCAATCAAAATTTGGCAAATTTACAATACAAATATGTTTGGAATATATTTTCAGTTTTCCAATATTTTACTTTTAAAACTTTAGCTGCAACAATGTAAAAATTAACAATCCATTAACTAATTTATTTTTTACGCATCTATATATGTATGTATGTATATTTTTTATGAATAATTTTCCTGCCTTTAATTTAGTCTAAGCGCTTACTAATTACTTTTTATTATAAAAATGTTGAAAATAACACAATAAAACAATCGCAAATCGTCCAAAACACACAACGCCATCAAATAGTAATTTTGGTGCAACGCCTCAACATTCCACTTCGTATTTCTTGTATATCACTTGGCTGCCCTATTTCGCCGCAAAATACAGTTTACTTGTATTTCTTCATGAAATCGGCGTGGAAGGTTTGGAATTTGTCCAACATGATTTTCAGCTTGTCGGTTTGTGGCAGAATTGTGGTACGGAAGTGATATGTGCCCTCCTTTTGGCCGAAACCGCTGCCGGAAACAATGCAAATGCCTGCAAGATTTTATAAAAAAAAAAAAAAATTGAAAAATTAAAATTTATTAGAATTACGCAAAATAGGTGCGTCCACTAACCGGTTGATTCCAGCAATTCAAATGCATAGAAAGTGTCGGGTGGCATGTTCTTCGCCTTAGCTGCCGCTATAGCCTTTGGTGGTATAGCGATTTGTGGGAAAGCGTACATAGCGCCTTGCACCACATTCACCTTGAAGCCTTCGAAGCTGTTGAATGTTTTGTACACCAATTCGGCGCGCTCTTTAAGAGCATTCAAAACAGCGGTCTTCTCAGCAATATATTGCTCGTATGAGGGCTCACCCTTCTCTGGTGGGTAAACCTATAAAAACGATGTTATCCATATACATATACATACATAATTTACATATAATAAATAACTGTAAGTTTCAAAAACTCTTACTCACCAAAGCGCTCACCGCCACCTGACCGGCAGTGGTGCTGCACAACGACGCCGTTATTGATTTCGTAAGCATAGCTTGAACTTGTGGGCACATATTTAACACCTCCATGTAACCACCACGTATGCCACATTCACCCAGATAACCCTTCGATGTGGACAAGAAGCTGCACAATTCCATTTCTCTGTATGGTGAACCCATTTCGTAGGCTACGCTCTTGAAGGAGTAAAACTTCGAGTTGGGATCATAAATATTCGCCTGATACACTTCATCGGCCAGCAACAGCAGTTTGTGTTTATGTGCGAATTTGATAACATCAATGATATTTTCACGTGTCAACACCTGACCGGTGGGATTGCCCGGATTGATGACAACCAGCGCACGTGGTTCGCTCGTCTTACGTGCTTCATTGTAGGCGCGTTCCAGTTCGGACACCTCCAAACTCCAGTTTTGCTCCTCATTCAAATAGTAACCATTACGATTCATAGCGTATTCGGAAATGGTGGCAGAGTAAAGTGGATATTGTGGTATGGGCACCATCACGCCGGGACGTTTGCCGCCAACCTTAGCTCTACAAAAAAGTATAAAATAAGTTTTCTATGTTGCAAAAGAAAGTGACAATGCTCACCGCACAAGCGACAGTATGCTCTTGATACCCGGTGTAGCACCAGCAGTCAGGTAAATGTTCTCCCAGTTGGATGGAATGCCATCACGCTTCTCAATGAAGTTAGCCACTTGACGGCGTATCACTTCGATGCCAGCCGAATCGGTGTAAGAGCCGACTGATTGACCTTGGCAGCCGTCCAAGATGATGCGGGCGCGCTTCTTCACATCCTCGGGGTAGTCGGGCGAGTCGAAGAGACTTGTATCCAATGTAAGCGCTAGCAGCTGTGCGTAGAAAGTAGAATGATTTATTAAGTTATTACCGATTTTGTAGGAAAGTGGAAATTTGGTCAACAGTTCTTAAATTCTTTTCTGCATGCTCACCTGTCTCAGGAACGTAATAGGCTTTTGTCCCATAGCATGACAATCACCAATGTTGGCGCGAATTACTTGATCAAAAGGTTTCTTCACACCCTGAAAATAAAAACACAATATATTTAGAAATGTCTTAATAATAATTTAAAAAAAAAAACTATTATATAAATTTTAAAAATAAATTATTTTGTTTTTACCCAAAAAAAGACACTTAAAAGTAGGCCGAAATACAAAAGAGTTCAGAAAAACTTTTTGGAATAATACTTATAATACTTATAAATTTGTTGTGATTGTGGTCGCGTTCTTGTAAACATAACCAAAAGTTCCAAAAATGAATGTTAAATGGTCGAACGAAGTAAGTCCGGTTGAGTTTTTTAGCAGTCAATGGAGTCTGGTTTCTCATAATGCGTATGCAGTTTGTCGCTTAAGTCTTCTGTTTCAGATAATTTTTGAGGGGCACACCATTAAAAAATTTTGTTTTTTTTTCGTAGGTTATAACTTTAAATATAACATACTAAAATTTTAATTCGAAATTATTTGAGAGAGTTTTTGAGTTACAGGCTTCTAAAGTGTCGCCGCTCAGTTCAATTAGCTCCATCAGTTTAGCTTTAAACTCGTTCTCAAAACTATGTATTTCAAATTGGCTTGAGTGATTGCTCAATGATGCAAATTTTTTGATTTTACCCGAAATCTCCTTTTTTGTGTAGATATCAATTCTCGGAGCCAACGAACTAGTTCCGAATTGGTTAAGATCAAATGCATATATCGCCATTATCAGCGCATACTTCCAAAATATCTCACTAAATTTTTCTGATCACATAGGTATGTTTTCTAAAATAATTCTTTATTAACTCCTTCAGAGTAGGGTTATTAGAGGGCATTATAAGCATGCTAATGTTTAAACGAATTTTCCAGGTGAACTTTATGTTTTTAGAGAGCTTCGCTTTTAGATATAAACTGACAGTGATTGGTGGCTGACCGCTGACTTTTGTTTGATATTCGTTGGAAAGATTTTGTGATCCTTATGTGATGTTCTTTTGCTAAAACACCCACCAAAAACGCTAGCAAAACTATTTTCGATAAATGCTTTAATATACTTGGCCATTGGGCTTTTTCAACAATTTAAACCAATAAAATAAAATGAAAGTCAGCAGATAGAGTAGTAAATGAAAATAAGAAATTATAAAGTATTAATTTCGAATCAGTTCAGTCAATTTGTCTTTCTATTTACATAAATGAGCTGGAGTTTCCAGCAAATAAAACCTATTAGCCACGTGCTGCCGGTCATTTTACTAAATAGAGGGTGAACCACCTTGAATGTTGGTATGTAAATACCGAAAATTTTTTAAAGATCAAATGATGTATTTTTTAAAAGAAAAAATGATGTATTTTTCAAATGAAAAAATCAATCAAGTGACCGCCTTTATCCGTCATAGTGAAGCGTGACTTTATTTTTATGCTTGCCATTACTCGATTGAGCGTTTCTGGTGCTATACATATGTTAACGATGATTTTGCAATAAATGTTTGTCCTGAACTACTCAATGTTTCGAGCATTGTTGGTGTAGTTTGTGCTTTTCAAATAAACCCGCTAAAAGAGTGGGTCATATCTGGAGATCAACTAACATATCTTGGACATCGGTCCTACAGCGAATTGTTTTTTTTTGCATAAACTTACATAATGTTACATTGTGTATGGTCTTGTCGTACACAGTAACTGCTTCAATCAGTAATTTTTTGGTCATATAATCACGTTTCTGTATATTGGACTTTCTGTTTCCCAAGTAGGGCTATTCCAGACTAAAATTATACCGAATTGTGTTTCCCAAAATATGTCTAACCCATTAAAAAACGGTTAGTTAAAGTCGATATTAATCTATATTTACTAATGGACATAAAAGATGGCGCACCTTGTGTTACATATACATACATATTTCTCTTTCCATAAATATTAAAATTTAAAATTGGTTTCGTAATAAATCAATAATACTGTTAATCGCTAGTGTACCCATATTTTTTTTAAAAATCCCGTTAGATTATAACACAGCGAGAATATCTATTTATTAGTGTCCAAAAACTAAAAGCCGAAATTTTTACTCACTATCACTTCGCGATAAGCGCTGCCTGATTAAACACCGTAAAAGAAAATGGAAAATAAATATTTATTGCGAAAGTGCAATCATCAAATTTTTGATTTTTGTTATTTTAATTTTTATTAGAACTACTTAACTGTATGCTTTGCGATTGTCATATCAACATTTTGAATAACAAAGTTTAAAATGGAAAGCTTCAATTAGGTAGTATGTATCATGTTATATATCATGTATGATGTTTTCTCAATCACAATCTCATACAATTCATTTTCAAAAATGATTACGAAAATAATTTACAATTAAATCATCTTACTCTACATATATTGGAAAAAAATTTTATAGTTCAAATCAGGAAATTGAGCAAAAAAAAAACACACTAAGAAGTAATATTTCGTTTCGTGCCTCTATATTGAGTGGCAATTGTCCTCATTCAAAATATTTTTTATGTTTATAACTAGTTAAGTTTTTTATTTCGTTTATAATATATGATATATTGTACTCAGCACAATCTCTCTAAGTGAGTTAAGGCGTGAATGTTAGAAACACTAGAAATTTCACAGCACCATGTGAATGAAATTAATATCAGACATATCTATTAAAACCGCAAAGCAATGTTATTGTATAATAACAAATATACTAATATATACAATATAAATAACGTTATGTACATATAATATATTTGTTACATATATATATTTTTATATTTATTCAATCTATTAAGAGTGCAGTAGGTGGAAAGAGATAAAATTTCAGAAAGTTACAAAACTCACATTCAAATGACCTGTTCAATATATATGATGGATTGTTTGGAAAAATTACTTGTCAATTCAGTATTTGATACTTGCCTTACATATATTTAATTTGTTTTTTATTTTATTTTAATATATAATCGAATTATCGAATATTTCGATAAGGTATTATATGTATAAAAAAGAGAAATCCATAATCCAAGTCTGAATTTTCAACTGTGAAATTACTGCCGAATCGCAATAAAATCGATTCAATTCACTTACGACGACTTCAAGCGAAAATGGCCGTTGTCGAAATGCGGTGAGCAGGCAGAAGTGGTCATGCCAGAATTGGACTCTCAAAGGTAGCAATCGCCCGACAGCGGTCAGCTTTGGCCATTAGAAGAGGAATTGTATTCTATCAGGACAACGCCTGACTACACACATCGATAGTGGCTCACCAGACGCTTCGGGAGCTTGCGTGGGAGGTTCTGTCTGTGGCGAATAATCGATGGAAAAAATTCGCCTAAAGAGAAGCTTGTGAAAATCGACTAACACAGTTTTTTGCTAATAAGGACGATAGTTTCTAGGAGAGTGACATTATAAAATTACCTTTAAAATGGCAACAAGTTACCGAACAAAAAAGAAAAAAAAATTACTAAAACCTTGAATTTAATGTCAAACTAATGTATTTCTTTTTGATAGACCATATATTATAAAATCAGCAGAAGCAGTCCAACTATGAAAAAATGTTTGAAAATGTAATATTCGTAATGATCCTAAAATTAAACAATATTACTTTAAATAGAAAATTTTGGAATTAACTACTTGATAACATTGTGATTTTTTGGTTTAATAATCAACTATTTTGTTGGCTGGATATTAGCAAAATACTTAAAATTATCTATCTCTTAGTAACAGTGATTCAGTTTAATGAAACCCAAGCCGCCTTTCATCTCTAACCGAGTGCTTTCTGTGTTGAAACCTATGTAGATTAATATATGAGTACACCAGATAGTATATATTGTAGTATACTCTAATGCTACTTGTATATTGACTTCAACATCAGTTGATAAGAAAACTACTCGCAACACATTTTCACAAATTTTTTTAATTTATTATGAAATGTCTGGCCGATTGTGACCAAGTAGCGCTATACTTGTAAATGTATTCAATAAGTAAGTGTTTGCCAATCGAATTTCTTTATCAGCACTTATCAGTATGTTTTGATAAAATTAGCAGTTGCTGAGGCGTGTCGTTCTATGACAATCGAATAATGTGTCAGTGGTGATATGGTGCTATGAAATAAAAGGCCAAATCTAGATTAGAGGGAGAGTACTTATACATACATGTATGTATGTATGTATATAGAGTACTTTTTCATCAATTATATGGTAAAAATGTAAAATTACTAAGCTAATGTCGGGAGTATTTGTTATATACTAGTACGTACGTATGTATGTATTTATGTACATATGTATGTGTGCTTATAAAACCTTAATGAGTTTTACATATCTTTAGAAATTACGCAAAGATCGTTAAAAAATAATTATTACTATTTTTGTAAAAATATGTTAAGAATTATACATACATAAGAGTATGTACATCAAATTTATAATACAACAACAACTATGTAGTTTATATATTATATCATATTATGTATATATGAGTATATAGTTACCACCGTACTCTTGCTCATAGCATTTTATTTGCTTAATTAGTATTTAATATGCTTATGACTTTATGATGTCTGATATTGTTTTTTATCAGCGAAAATATTTCAACGCATATATGTACTCGTACATATATACACACATATCTGAAATTTATCCCATCATGTGTTGGCTTTGTGACATTTTAATTATGTGGTTATATGACAGCAAACGATCACGCCAGTATTTAAGACACCACCACCAACAACAACAAATTGTTTAGGTATGCTATAAACTTGTATACATATATACGATATTGCATTATATATATTATTTATTGACTGCCTGGCTATCCAATTTGTTGTCACGACCACTCTTTCGGAAGCTTTATTGGTTCAGAATTGATGGGCGTGCATACAAAGGGACATACCATACATACATACATATGTAGTATATACAGAAAGTTTATTCTTAATTTTATAATATACTTGTACATAAATTAGGAATAGGTTATGTTATATTAGTTAATCTAAACTGTTCGATGAGTTTTCATTTGAATATATGTACATGAATGTATACTCGAATGCCGGTCTTTTGACAGCTGTCATTCAAGATATTGAAAATAAA